AAATGTTCATGGTAAAGTACTGGAGCTTGGTATGGAGATATATAAAATCAATCGTATACTATTGGAGAAAAATTGGTGCTACTGGAAAAGGGGGCGTGGCCCCTCCTATACAAACCGAACTTTTCATACTACATATTTCCGAAAGTGTTCATGGTAGAATACTGGAGCTTGGGATTGCGGTATATGAAATCAATCGCATACTCATGGAGGAAAATTGGAGCTATTGGAAAATTGGCGTGGCACCTCCCATACAAACCGAACTTTTCATACTGCATATCTCGCAAAGTGTTCATAGTTGAGTACTGGAGCTTGGTACTGAGGTATATAAAATCGATCGCACCCAGAGATACACAACATGCAAATTCGGTTCCAAAAGCTCCAATTTTTCTTCAAGAGTATGCCATTGATTTTATAGTATATCTCCGTACAAAGTTCCAGTACTCTACCATCAACAAAGACATTTCTGCCATGAAGGAGGCAAGGCTCACACGATTGAAGCGTATTGTACAAGGGGCCAATTCTCGTTCTTTGAGATCGTGAAGTAAAAATAAAAAATTCAAACTCTGTGCAAATTTTATTTTTTCACTTTATCTTTTAGTTTTACCATTTTAAGTCATTCTCGATCATTGAAGGCCTCTTCATAAACATCGAGCAAGAAATTATTTGGTAAATAACGGTGAGTAAAATATAATGATTGCGATTTAAGCAAGATATCCAACTTATATTTTTCACAACTACAAAACTATGTATTTAAAAATTTTTTTTGGTGCAAACTTTTGACAAATAAATTTGTTTTCAATTGGAGCCCGAATCGAAATTTTATGTGAAGTGATGAAAACTATTTTCACTTCACGCTTCATATTCAGCAGTAAGCGCTCCCTTCCTAATTTCACACTTCATTGTATTTTAACATTGTGTGTGATTAGAAGGAAGCGCTCTCTTGCTGCTCCCAAAAAAGCCCTTGGTGAGCGCTTCAACTAAAGCATTTAAAAAGCGATGCATACAAATTTTAGTTTTTACATTATATTTTTGTTTTAATAAAAGAATGGCGTTTTTGTAAACCATTTGATTTTTTTATCAAGTGTACTTACATATAACATGGTTTTTTTTCTTTTCTATGTGGTAGACATACGAAAATACATACATACATACATACATGTTTGTACACAAATTAACTTTTTTTAAAAGAAAATATTTTATGTTACTACTCAAAATGATATTTATTTCTGAGCATTGTTAGAAATATACATTTTTTTTTTACTTTGCTTTTGTACTGCTCCATACTTGCTCCTTTGGGGAGCAGCTAATTTCAGTCCCGTTGGGTTTATTTCTTCAAGAGAATTTACATACAGCGCTGGCAAAGTACTNCAGTCCCGTTGGGTTTATTTCTTCAAGAGAATTTACATACAGCGCTGGCAAAGTACTTTTTCAACCAACAGAAATAATTAAAACAAATTCTTCAAATTTTTCTTAATAAATGAAAAACAATGAGGTTTAAGATCACCTACAATACAGGCGGTGGAAACGATAACATTTTAAAAAAGTTAACAGAACAGAACAGTTAATATTTATTAAAATTTCCGGTGGTAAGGCACTATGAAAAATCAAATAAATGATTAAATTTTTTCATGAATGTACATATGTAAATATCGTCGTTTAAAGCATGATAAAAATATAGTAAGGTAGAACCGCTGAGAGTCACTTTTAAAATTCTTGACGTTTCCAAACAATTTAATTTTTAAATTTACTCACAAACTCACACACACATTTTCATTTTCAATCTCAAGCAACAACAATTTCGAACAATTTCAATTTTTTATTTTCACTTTTATATGATTTTAAAATGTTGGCAAACTTCAAGAAAAAATCATGGCCGATAATTGAGAGAACGGTTCTACCTTGCTATGTTTTTATCATGGTTTAAAGTACAAAACCGCGTATCAACAAAATGCAAAACCGCCTATGTGAGGTTGCATAAATTATTTTTTAGAGAGTAAAAACACTCTTATTTCAGAATGATTCTATTTTTTATAAAGAAACGGCATTTCTGGCTAGTATATTTCAGGACGAATGGATAAGAATCTAGCCAAGAACTTGTGTGAGCAAATCCAATTTTTGGCAGCCAATGTCAGTTACGTGGTTTTGCCGAATGACGATATACGGTTTCGTACTTTAAACGACGATATGTATGTCAAAGAAACAAAGTCAATTTTGTTATTGACCTTTGTACCAAGGTCATGTTTATTAGGANCGAATGACGATATACGGTTTCGTACTTTAAACGACGATATGTATGTCAAAGAAACAAAGTCAATTTTGTTATTGACCTTTGTACCAAGGTCATGTTTATTAGGAAAAATGGAAAAAGCAACAAAGTCTAACCGGTAGAAGTTATAGCAGCTTTTTCGGAGATCCCCACATCTCTTCATCAGATTTTTTTTTTTAGACTTCAGCAGGTTAACGCTTCTGATTTTCCACATCGATGACGCTGGTTCGATCCCTACTGAAGTCTATGAAGTCTGAAGAAGAGATGTGGTGATCTCCGAAATAGCTGCTACAACCTCTACCGCTTAGACTTTGTTGCTTTTTCCATTTTTTCTAATAAACAAAATGGTGGTACAAAGCTCAATAACAATATTGAAAATAAAATGTTAATAAGCCACAATAACATTGAGAAATAATTTTGTTTTGCATCATGCTACGTTTTTATAAAATAGTGACAGTGTAAAGGCCGTTATCTCAAATTTTACGCATTTGTGGCACTGGTTAGACTTGATTAAATGGTCCAAAATTTTTGGGGAATTACTTTTTCAACAAAGGTAACCATTTCAGGGAGTAGCACACGCAATTTTCTGATTTTTAACAATAAGGGCCACTCTAGTAAGTATATTAAAATGTAATATAGTATTTTATAGCATAGCATAGTATAGTGAAAAATAGTATAGTATATTAACAATGATAAACATACATATTTTTAGGAACGCCCTAAGCCACGGTTTGTCAAGGGGCGGAGACTGGAAGGAGGACCACAAATGATGCAACTATCATTGGATGGTAGAAGATTATACGTATCATCATCACGGTATTCTCCATGGGATAAAATGGTATTTTTATTGTGTTGTATTATATATTCTTTATTTCTCAATATATCTATATAACTATATGTGACCTGGTCTACGGAAAGGGGGCTTAGGTGTCAAAAAATCAATTTTCACTTTTTGGTTGATTCGGATGGAAGATGAGATGCTTTTTCACGTGGTGAAAAGCAGAAAATCCTAACTTGCTTAGAAGTGTACTAAAAATGTAGAGAAAGAAGAGTAAAAATACGACAAAATATAATTTATTGGTAATGAACAAAATACATTGAATTATAAGCTATAAAGACATGATTATACACTAGAAAAACGTATTATGGGCCAAAAATAATAATGCTGAGTAGTTTATGTATTTTTCTTTGTTGTCGTTTTCCTTGAGATCTTTTTACGTGTTGATCCTGAGGAAGATGGACCTGGTTCCTCGTCTGGTTTGAGAACATCTTCACTAGTTTTTGCCTTCCGTTTCTTCGATGGCAAATCTTTCGGCAATGGAGCCACAATATCTACTTTAGATATATCCGCGAAGATTGTGATAGATGTACCACTGACGTTCCAAAGATAAACCGGCTGGTTGTATAACATTCGGCATTTCAGGATCGATAGGTTTTAACAGAAGCTTAAAGGACTGCACTTCTTCACTGTCTGCGAATTTCTTTGTTTTTACACAATCTGTAGAGATTATGAAATGATGGAATTGCGTTATTCCAACAAGTGACTTATACAGTGGTTTAAAATAGCTGTCATATTCATACCAGACGACTTTTTCAGCCGATACAGCTTTATTATAGCCCCCAGGTGATGATGCCTCGACACATTGCAGTAAATCTGCATACGTGTCGATGTTACTAACGGCATACTTACTTTTGAAAATACCGAAGTAACGATCAGGCGCAAACTTAGTGTGCACGGTAAGTAGAAAATTGAATAAAATAGTTTTGTTAAGACCCCGAGCCAAACACCATTGCAGATATGATAGTACAGTGTTATTCTTATTCTGCCCAACACAATTGTCACAGAAAAGACCGAGTGTTTCAATGTCTTTATAGTAGGTTTGCAGGTGATAATGCAGGATGCTCACAACACAGTTAGGTCCTTTACCAACGTCATCTTTTTCGTCTATCATGTAATTGTACTGTAAAAAAAAAAAAATATAAGTAAGATCCTGTAAAGGCGAGCAATTTGAGTTCCTATGATTCAGTTTGAAATTCTAACCTGAACTTTTTGTTTTTCGTCTGTAATTCCGAAGACTCCGCACTTCTTGGTTGCTTTGAAGTATGCTGTACCAGGTTGTTGTGGACTGACAGGGTAGTGAACGGTTTGGGCAAAATTAAATGACAGAACGACTGCTGTAGGGTCAGTATTTCTACACCAACTTTGATAATATTCTCGTTGATTTCGGGCTCGGTGGAGGTGATCAAGAAATTGATTAAGCTTCTGTGCGCGTTCAATGTCAGTAACACCTTTGGCTTGCGCAATCGATATTGTGTTTCCTATTAAAAGAAAAAATACTGAATTTAATCTCAACGTTTGATACAACTATAAAATGAGAAAATAATGAGCTACTTACCACGGCAGACATCGCAGAGATCATCCGCTGGTTTCATAACTGTAACATGGGGTATGTATTTGGACCATATCCGTCGAAAACTGCAATTACTCATCTTCAATTCGTCATCACTGAGTGAAGAAATGTATTTTCGATAAATTGAGGACTTCGTCTCTCTGGATGGCAGTTTCATTATCCGAATATCCTTAAATTTTGGGAGTCGTCCGGGCAGTGAAAGAGCCATTAAATCGGCTATAGACTCGATGAATTTAACAGCTTTTTTGATGTCAGCCGGTTTAAATGACTTTGGATGTGTACTCGGTTTATTTGCCAGTCCGTGTTGGCGCACTGTTACACCCTGTGCGTGAAAATGACGTACTAAATTTTCGTAACGCTTCGTCGTACAGGCATGTACAAAAAGGAAATACGAACGACAAACAGCTACTCTGTAGAAGGTAAATTGAATTCTATGCCTCATAACTTCTGTATCCTGTCTTTGTCCATATTTCTTCCGCCCAGCAAGCTTTGCGTATACACTTTCTAGCTTTTCGTTACTCATAATTCCAGCTTCGATGTGACTTAGTATCACTAAATCAAGTTCATTTTTCGACATCTCTAAACAATTGTTCCGCGTAGTCTCGATCATTTCCCGTGGTATCAGTGTATGGCATTCATTATTACAACAATCTTTTGACAGAAATTTTGTTACCAGCTCCTCCTCCTTTACATCAACAACATATAGGTCTATCTTAACAAAAGTTTGTTCGGTATCATCTTCTGCCTGAGATACACATACTTTGTCTTCATCATCATCGCTCTCTTCATAGTTTTCATCATCGTTTTTATCATCCTTTTCATGGAAATATTGTCCGTATACGGCACTGAACTCCTCATCAACACTCATGTTTCATTTCATGCGAAATGCGAAGACGATAATCAACAGAAAA